TATTAGTTCCCGTTCTTCCTTTCAAACAATCAAAGACGCACCCGTATTATAAGACAGTTGATTTTGAGGATACCTTTTTTTCTATAAGAATATATGAATATCGAATATCGAATATTTCAAATATGAATATTTGATATGAATATCGAGGCTGAAATTTGTGAAATTTTAAGAATATTTTAAGAATAAGCTCGAGGCTAAGATTTCGAAGAGGATATTATATTGAGTGTTGAAAATGCAAAAAAATATGTTTTCAACTTGACCGTATAAAATTATTGCTAATGACAGTTCTATAAGCGGTACATGAAAGACACATGTATAGTATATAGCACAATAGAAATGAACAAACAGCAAAAAGTATGTAATGTTGTTTTTCTTTTTCAAATATAAGTGAAGAATAATACAAGGATATTTCCAGGCTAAAATCAGCAGACAATTAACAATTATTCTTTGAAATCGAGATGAATAGTGGCAAAATATTTACCGAGCCACGAAGTGGCGAGGTAAATATTCCTAAAGCCGCTATTCACCGAGATTGAAAAGAATAATTGTTTTAGTATGTATACACGAAGTGATCTCAACAAAATCAGAGAGGAAACCATTAAAAAGTACGATTTGATTGACAGATCAGGTCAGCTAGACACGCGCAGTTTAAAAATAGATCTTTGTAGAATTTTCAAACATGGCAATTCACAAGCTTATCACTGCGCAAACAACAGCGTAATGGCTTCAATGGAACCGCTAAAAGTTTGAATTGTTTCCTTACCTGAGAAGAAAAGAAAAGCTTTGTTGTTTTCTGTTGACTCGCCAAGTTTATGGCCGAAAAGGTTTGTTGTGTTGTTCTTCGCATGAAGTGCTGACAAAAATGGCGATTCGGTTCCTCGAGGTAAGACGTCGTTTTCATGTAGCATTCTTTCTCGTGTTTACTTGAAGCGTAGAGTTTCTGCAAACATTTGCTTTCAAATTTGTTTGTCACAAATAAAATTCGTTGTTGGGCCAAATTTTTCTTGTTAGGAAACGCTGAGTTCACAAAACGGCCTCTACGGCAGTTATAAACAATCCATCGACCACAAAACTCAACAACAAACAGTAAATGGAAATCCTCGAGGTAAGACGTTTTTATGTAGCATTCTTTCTCGTGTTTACTTGAAACGTAGAATTTCTGCAAACATTTGCTTTCAAATTTGTTTGTCATAAATAAACTTCGTTGTTGGGCCAAATTTTTCTTGTTCGGAAATGCTGAGTTCACAAAATGGCCTCTTCTGGGCGAATAAACGGGAGTTGTAAACAATCCATCGACCACAAAACTCAACAACAGTAAATGGAAAAACGCCCTTTTGAATCCTTCGAAGTATTTTCTTGCCTGAAAAAAAGTCAACCCTAGGATTTTGTCGACTTTTAAAAGATCCTTTTCTAAGAAAATGGGAAAAAACCGAGCTCACACATTATCCACTCGCTGGGAGGTGAACATTGTTGAATAGTCCGAGATAGCGAACCAATCAGATTGCTTAAATGGTCTTAAATCACCAAGATCACGGAGTGTGTATATACTAAATAAGATTGTTATATTCCTAGACTTTCACTCAACTAAACAGGGACTGCCATTGGTTGATTCTTGGTCACGTGGCCTTGACTAAAATCAAATGTGTCCCGATCGTGATACATTAAACAGTCCGGAATATCCCTAAATTTAAGGACAGGGCCGACTGGTCATGCGACACTTTTCAACCAATGAGAAGGCGCGCTTGTGTTTATCAACAAACAAATCAAAACATCGCCGCTGTGATAAAATATTTTCAAAACAGCGGACGGAGTCGGACAGAATCAGTCATCGTTTCGAGGCTCTCAGGCATATTTTTAAGACTTTTCATGAGGCATACACAATTTTTTTAAGAGGACAGCGTATCGGAAGCCATATTGGAAGTGTCTCGTGAAATATTCAGCACATTTTGTGGCTTATTTCTTCTTTTAAACAACGCGATGTATGTGCGAGATTTTGGTCGGTTTTCAAGGTAGGTGAACAAGTATCTATTATTTTTTCGATTCACAGATTTTTTTTNGCTAGTGGAGGAAAAAGATGCAGATAATATGAGGAAAGTACTTTTGTTTGTAAATCATTCATTCAGTGGTTTTGAGAATTAAATTTGTGTTGTTATAAGTACCGAGTCGACTGTTTTGGTTCGCTCCGGTTATTCTTTTGTTGCTGTTGAAGTGAAAGTTTAGAAATATAACAAAACACTTAATGTCAGGTCCCTCGGGAAACCAGTTAGTTTTGTTTTCCCTCGAGTCCTGATGTTTCCCTCGACTTCGTCTCGGGAAACATCAGGACTCTTGGGAAAACAAAACTAACTGTTTCCCTCGGGATCTGACATTAAGTGTATAATATTCAGCCCGGCCGGAAAAACAATATTCTTGTATAAAAAAGAGAGTATGTGATACATGTATATTACCCTCAATAAAAGAGGAAATGAATCCAACCTCGTGTAAAAATAAGATAAAACAACATTCATTTTAAGGCTAGCAAGTCGACAACTGATGAGCTGATGAGGTACTGTAGAAAAATACCCAGCAAGGATAAAAGAAAGCAGCAGGGACCAGAACAGCTCTAAGTCGTAGTGCCCCTGGGACCCAGTTGAAGAGTGAACCGATAAACACGAGCAGACTGGAAAGAAAAGTACCAAGGGAGGACTTAGTCAAATTCTAACCCCCTGTCCCTATGTCTTGCAACGCCGGGAGAGAGGGTCCCTCTCTCCCTAGCCTGCGTGGCCGGCGTTTGAAAGGGAAGGGAAAGGGAGTTTTAGGCGCGAGAGAAACGCGAAGGACGCTCGAGGAGGGAGGAAACCCTAACCTGACCTTACCCCTAACCCTTTCCCTCCCTCCCTCCTCGCGCGCCCCTATTTTCTCGCGCCCAAAAGTCCCTCAGTTCCCTTCCTTTTCAAACTCCTGCCACGCAGGTTACCCACTCCTGGCGTTGCTTGTCCTAGAGAGAGGGGCCAGAACTGGACTATGGAGGCGTTGGCGCAACAACTTAAAATGGCCATCCAAAGGGTGATGATTCTGGAAATGAAAGCGGACTTTGAGGAAACGGGTACAAAGTTTAGAAAGCTTTGGAGGTAAGATATAAATGCCATAATTCTCCCATGGATACCTCCCAAAGCTTCATAAGATTTCAGTAGAAAGAATTGTTTCCAAGTTTGCTTTCTAATATGGTTAACCGTTGGCATTGAGCGCATATTTTAAACAATTATTGGATGCAATTAAGCTGCATTTTTGTTGTTTGCGTATACGTCGACTTGGATTCTTTTTTTGCCAATCTATTTTCGATTTTGCTTTCGCGCCTTCTTTTTTCGGTTTTTGTGCCCACTTCTTCGCTTTTCCTTCCAATGGAATTGTGGCTGGTTATCTTTCCAGTAAGGGGGAATTTTGTCTGGAATGAGTAGTAGGTAAAGGTAAACAGGGAAATTGACCGTGGATTTTTTTCCAAAATGTTAGTAGTTTTTTCGTGTGATTATGGAAGGATTGGTCAGAATTTCCAGTGCCTGTGCAAAAACCATCTTTGCTAAATTCGCTGCTATTCAACTTAACCGCTTAAAATGAAAGCTAAATTGTTTCAGAAGGAAAAATAACTCAGCGTTCCATTTGGAAGTCGTCGTCAAAGGGTTAAAGGAGCTTTCAAAATGTTTAACCTTAGGCATCCAAACTCAAACACATGGTGTTCTTTCTTATGTTCCATGCACAAGAAACATGGCGGGCCAACATAAATTTATGCACTAGATTTTTAATAAACCCTGCGGAGTGAAGATCTAAAAATAATGCAACTCTACATTTTATTTTGTTTATTTCAAGTGGCAAGAAACAAGTGGTTTAATTTCGACACCGTTGGTGACTAAGAGTTTCTTTGCAAGATATTTGAAATAACGGCTGGAGCCTCGGGTACGTTTAAGCCAGTTATTCACGCGATACAAGTCAATTGACTATATTGACTCGTCCAGGGCTCGTCAATCGACTTTTTAATTGACTATAACATAATTTGCTGTAGCTTGACGACAGTCTATTTAAAATTAAAGAGGTGTTTTTTTGCGGGCAAATTCTGCAATCCTTTAAGAACTGTTCATTCAACAAAGCTGAAACATGGCCCACTGTTTATTGAGCAACGTACTTATATGTTGGATGATGTTTAAGGTCTTTAAAGTGTGTATCGTTTAGTTGCTTCTTGAGGTAACTACAGCGTAGTATTGGTGGACCTGTCGCGCAGATATTTTTCAAAGATTCCCGAAATAAGTGTGGAAATTTGATCCCGTAAAAACAAGCCCTTGTTCATCGGAAATTTATTCACTTTATTTTCATTACTGAATTTGAATTTTGAAAAAACTCGAATGAAAACAGCGAAGTTTCTTTGTGGTATCCTTTGTTTTGACTATGACGAGTACGTTGATTTCTGCCGAAGATGAAATAGTGATAATTTCTTTAAATAGAAACTTTTTCTTTTTAAAAAATGGTTCTTCATCCTGGCTCTCGGGAAATATCCAGGCGACGGTTTGACTGATGTTATTTTGGATGAATGCCAACTCTTATTGTTTATTTTTCGGTTCTGCGTCACTGTTGTTAGCAGCTGAATGTGAATTTTGTATCGTAAATAAAAAATTGCGAAATTACTGGTCAATTTTGCTGTGAACCTCTGTTTTATAAACTGAACGTGTGTTGTGAAAGTGTGTTGTGGTCCGTTGAAGATCGTGTCCTAAACCCAATTTGATCGTTAAACTAGAAAAAAGGTTGAAACAAAATCCCACCAAATTTATGACTTAAATTACGAATATCATGCATTTTAATAAATTCCAAAGATAGGGAAAAAATACTAACTAAGTAATTTATTTAATGCATATTTCTTAAGTGTGTTGGTTTATGAAACAGGCATGAAGGATTTTACATTATTTTCGAGAAAAAGCTATTTTGTATCTGTCTATTAACTACCTTTAACGCTTTTGTCCTCTTCTCTTGACACTTCACGCTTTTGATTCCACACAGTCCACTTTATTGTTTTTCGTTGTTGAGCCAGTATTTGTTTTAAGCGCGATGCCAAAAATGAGCAGACACATAAAAGTCTCGCATGACCGCATCAACGTTTGCACTGCAATCCACGGCCAGTTGCTGACGATCGCTGTCTCATTGTAGACCCCTGTATCACCCAGAGCGGAGTACACAATGGTGCAGAACATAGCCATGCCACAAAAGGAAGCCAAGTACAGTAGTATAACCAGCTTGGTGAATTTCTTTCCATCGGCTGCGAGGTCAGGGTTATACTGAGCAGATTGGCGCGTTGATTTAAAGTTCCTCCACAATCTTGCTGCGGCTAAAGCGTAACCAAGGGCAACGAGAATTCCCCAGAGAGCAAAAGCAACTTGGCAGATTAGTATCATTACTTTAGCTTCATGAAAATGCGCCACGATTAAATCGGACATGATGATGTACAGCACGTTAATCACGAAAACTCCGAGAAGAAACGCTCGGTTTTGAACCTTGCTAGGAGCCACAGAGATTCGAGTGCTTTCCAGCACGATTAACAATAAAAAGCTAATTGCTGCCGTTATGCAAGCAGTACCGATACTAAGTGTTATAATACAAGCGACCAGTTCTGCTTTGCTCTCGTTTGTCCCGGATCCGTAGGGGTTCCAGATCAAAAACACGGTTCGGCTTATTCCAAATACCAAGAGAAGCGCGTTCATCAAGAAGCGATGACTCCTGCGAAAAAGCTCCTGTTTACCCTGTCTAATCAATATGTAAAGACCACGAATTACGACGAGGCAATACAACACTGTGAAGAAATATATGTGAAATGGCCACCCCCATTTCCAAATTTCCTTTGCTCGAGGCCAGTCAGGAACTGGCTCAGGCCAAAGTTTTTTGTTTTCAGCCATCATTAAGTTTCTCTTGCGTTGTTGACTTGGGCACAAGCACGCAAAGCTGAGATATGTTTCAGACAGGTTTTATAGGCAGGTGATGTTATAGTAGTGTGATTGGTCCATGATAACAAATTGTTAAAGACAATACCATTCTTCTTTTGGCAGATTAAGTAATATATACAAAAGTCAATTATTTTTCTTTTTCTGTCACTGTGTCGACCTTATCTGTTCAGCTAATGAGAACTAAAACTTTAATTCTTAATGGAAAGTGCCACTGATAGAAGTTTATTGACATCTGCACTAGATTTTCAAAGATTTAAAATTGAAAGAAGTGGATGATCTCTAAAAAAAATTTTGTGATGAATATCAAATTAATTCAAGATTTCATCAGTTTTGACATTCTTTTAAAGAACCATTGACAATGTTGATATTTCTTATTTGCTACATTAAGTTTGAATTCAGGTTTAGAATAGTTATCAATAATTAAAAAATAGAGACCTTCTTTCGTTGCTTAAATTAACCCATCACGTGCAGGGAAATTCAGCTTCATTACGGGGCTCCAAAAATATATAATACTGAATGATTAAAACAACCACACTCATCAGTTGTTGAAAGAGTCAGATAAGCTTTTTAGAAAATGTTTCTGTGAGAAAATAAAGTGCTTTGTCAGGATCGAGTAAAGAATTGTAGAAATGGGGGAGCTTGAGCAACGAGGAAGACCACGACAGTGAAAATGTCGCTGATAAAATGAATTTGCGTTTTATTATAACCTTTATCGTGTCTATTTGTACCCTTCCCATTTGTCAAATGTAGGCGATTTCTCCTGGAGTTGAGTTCCTAAGGACTTTATCCAGGCTCAGCAACAGTAAGGAAATTTATCGTCTTATGTTCACGTCCTTCATAAAACGTTGCATTGGGAGGTTTCTTGACGGCGTAGTCGTGCTGTGGACGTCAAAAAAAGGAATTTAAGAGCGTGATGTACGTATAGAGCTGATGTTTTGCGTGGTCGTCGTTACTTAACATTCGTAATAGACATAGTCGAATACAGATTAAGGTTACCTTGGCACCACTACATCTCGTCGGCAACGAACTCGCCATCTGCTTAAAACGTTGTAATGATAATTGACTCACTTATGCTTACGGTTAAAGCTAATATTTAAAAAATAAAGGTTGAAATTTTAAAAAGGCTGTAGCAAAATCAATTGTGTTTTAATTTGTTTCTTCAAAACGAGTTATAGCGTTTATAGTTATATCCTTAGCGCAGTTTCAGTCAATACAAATGTCTCACTGCCTTTTTTTTTGTAATTAAAGTTGTATATATTTATATAATAGATCATGTGAGTCACGTGTAACGAGTAAAGCCTTGTTTTACACTGATTATACAAGTACAGTAGAATTCTTTCATCGCTCTCTCTGTAGATAAGTTTCATTGGGCCGGAGCGGCAGGATAAAAAATCGCTGCAATCACTCTGAAACGGCCAAAAATACAATGATCAAAACACCATGGCTCTATTAAACACCAAGCTGTTATTAGATGTCTATAATAAAGCTTTAAATACAATACAATACAAAACAATTATGAATACTAAACGAGACAATAGAATGATTTTATTCACATTTCTGTTTCTCGATTTATAAAGTTTCCTTGTCTACTATATGTTAAAAAGGTAGGGGTTTATTTGAGAAAATAAAGGAAAAAATATAGAAATGCCTAGGATCTAAATATATCGTAAGGTTTTCGAGTTAGACTCAAGACCATTTATGTTTGTGACTCAACAACAAATCCAAATGACACGTGCAGCACTAAAGATAACTTAGAACAGGAAGAAAAAAGCACATGAATAGCAAAGTGTGAAAGCAGTAAATTAATGATTCATCAGCTGAAAAGTATGCAAATAAAGAAATGTGGGTGTAAAAATAATAAGCAATTTTTATATGTGAAGTCACTCTCTCTCCCAAAGAACACCTCTGTAAGACGAATACATCCGTAAAACGGTCTTCTAGGGTTGGTCCCTGCCTTTCTTTGCTCCCTTTATTCTCCTCTCTATAAAACGGACAACTCTCTTAGGGCCGGTCCAAAAGGTGTCTGTCTTAGAGAGGAATTGTCTGTATACGAACAGGCATTAATGACGAAGAACCGAGAGGAATCAAAAGATCAATGTCAGTGGCTGGAGGTGATTCAGTTTATGGAGATGTTCTGTAACATTGGAGTGCAATGCTTCTATTGCCATCATACTCCTCTGCTATGGAGTATGATCAAGAGAGAATGAGCTCTCTTGGTACGATTTGTTGGATCAGTGTAAGATTCTAGGAAACTGCATGCCCATCTGCATGCCTCTTCTCGCCTCTCTCTAATTCCACTCTTACACTAACTTCTCACTCGGGGCAAAATGGAGGTATAGGAGGGGGGTAGATGGACAGTTTTGATTCAGAGAACTGCCCACTACCCCTCCCTCAACCCAACACTAACCCTAACTTCTCAATTGGGGCAAAAATGTGGGATTAGGGGAGGGATAGGTGGACAGTTTGCCAGAATCGTATCTGAATTTTGATGAGCTGGTATTCCCATAACTGAAAGGGGTGGGAAGTTTTGAAACACTGAAATTTCATGGTGCAGGATGCTAAAATAACAAAAAAACAGCGTCCAAGAAATATGCTTTGTTGTCCAAAAAGATCTATTTCACTGCGGAGTGAGTAAAGTTTAGACTCAGTCGACACATTACTTCAGCCTTCAGCAGGAATCTCGAACTTGATATTGAAATTCGAGACAGTTTTACCGCCACATCAACGCATATATATATGTGCCATTTATCTAGATCAATATATATGCGCTATAATGAGCGGGTGTGAATGTTAGTGAAGTTCTTTCTGGAGTTTTTATCGACCGTGACGAATGAAGCCAATATGCAGCCATCTTGCCTGAACTAAACTGTCAATAACGGTGTTATTTATCCTATGGCCAAATTAATTTTTTTCTTGCGGAAACAAAGCGGGAAATCCCGAGCGCAGCCCATCTACTCCGCTCGATAGAAGCCAATCAAAACACAGAGTAAATTCTCTTCATCTTGCAATTTGCGGAGTCTTTTGTATAATATAGAATTATATACTTCAAAGCCTAAAGCTTGTTTCACTGGACCATTCTGTTCTCAAAAATTCCTTGGTGTAATCTTTTTATCTATAATCACCGTAATCATAGGCCATAACTTGAAATTTTAAAAAAGCTCATACTTGAAAGTTTGAACAAGTGACTATGACGAAAAGGCTCAATACAGTAGATAGTCTGGATGAGGATCTTATGTACATATATCTACGGAGAGCAACACCTCTAAAGAAAAGTATGTAGTAGTTTGGACTGCTTGTTTAGAAATGCTAAAATTTCATTGAAACTAAATACTAAATACGGCTTTGTTATGGGGAATGATAAAGTTGTGTCACCCAACGAAGTGACTTCATGTGGTCGCGAAATTAAAAATGGATGTTGATCCGTTTTAACTCATTTTCTTTCTGACTCGTGACGGTCATTTAGGAGATTTGATTCACCACCATCTATTGATATCACTCAGCTCAGTCAGAGGGCAAATCTAATTAATCCTTACACTGAAGTCTCTGGAACAGAATCATCCTTCATCAAAGAGTTAAACCTCTTTAGAAATTGTCGTAAAAGTGTATCATTCCCAATTTCCACGGCCATCTGAAATGGCGTAAGTCCATCCTCATTTTCAGCGAACGGGTCCCAATTTGCTTTCAGCAAAAGAGAAACACATTTTTTGCTCTTTCCACAGACAGCCGCGTGGAGCGCCGTCCAACCGTCATCATCGTGTATTTTCTCGTCTGCTCCGTTGTCAAGAAGATACTGCAGGCATTCAAGGTTTCCTTCGTAGGCGGCTCCGTGTAACGCGGTGGCTCCTTCGGCCGGAGTCTTAGCGTTGACATCCGCCATTCCTGACTCTACCAACATTTTAACCTCCTCCAAGTCGTTGGTCGTTGCAGAGTAGTATAGTCTTATGTCGGGATGAAAGCTTACACTCCCAGGCCTTCTATACTTTTTTTTGCACGAGTCCTTTTCCTCTGTGATGTTGCTATTTGACGAGTCGTTAACAGAACATATTATTTCCGGTGTCGAAGACGCTCTCGCTAAAACATTTTTTGGGGATAACAATGCAGATGGTGGAATGATGGCGTCAGTTACTGAGAGGAGTGCTTTTCTTTTGTTCACATTTCGCTGGGCCATGTTGTGTGGTCATTAATTGGGAGAATATGTTCTTCAAATACATGCAAAGGCAGACTCATTTCAGTGAGTGTACTTTAGACTCGACTCTGTCACGATATGATTTCAAAATCATTCCGAATTAACAGTTCAAGAACACTGCACTGAGTTGGAACGGCCCTAACAATGTTGAACGATTTTCTTGTAGTGCGATTTGAGTGAAGTGGAAAAAATATTCTTTCGTCACACTAGCTCATAAAGGATCCTGTACAACCGTGAAAATGCGTCTTAACACATGCAGTGCTGTGTTTTGTTGTTCTATATTTAGGCGATTTAGGGGGTGAGCACATTTGTTTGTAGAAACCGCTTGACTAATCTTCGTTGTAAATTACCTAGGATGAAGAAAACACATGATGTTTTGAAAAGCAATAACACCCATCTCAACAAAATAAACAGAAATCTTGATTTTTCAAACATTTCTTTCCGCTCACTTGAACTGGAGAGGCACAAGAAACTGAACTCAAATTAAAGAAAAAAAGAAACTCGCGTGCGTTTTGACCCAGTCAGACGAGCCCGTGCGTGACTAGCAAGGATGGTTCGTTCGCGTGACGTCATTTGACTGTACGGTTTAGGATTACAAGCATCTGAGCATTTAAAGAGCAATTAACCCCATATCATGGATATATACAAAACCTGCGCCGTATTATCAGCCTTATTTCTCAGGCTTGATTTAGTTCTTGAAGTTTTTGTGAAGCACAGTCGCTTGCAAACAACGAATTTGCGGCCTTTTAGAAACGCCGTCACATTTCACTAACCCTGGTAATGACTCGTTTATACAGTCTACCAATTACTGAGTGAAAACCACAAAAGCCAATACAGTACCTTGCACGAGTCAGGTGGAGGAAACGATTAAATAAAGCAGACCTATTGTATTCTTTTCACCACCTATTTCTTTAAATAAACGAGAAACGTTTTAAATTGCTGATAGAATTCGTGTCACGGTTGAACCCTATTATGCTCACACGAGCTCACGTCTATATTCCCCGGATGGTCAGTGGTCTGTCTGTTCAGTCTTCATAACACAGATTTCTATCTCATGGATACCTGGCAAGCTGGTACCCCCACTTCTTACAGGGCCTGTATCGGTTATCTATTTGATTTTGTTAATATTGCCAATTACGCTTTCGTATTCGGTTTGGAAGTTGACGTTAGCGAAGAAATACCGTAACTTGTAAACGGCAAAATCACAGCTTCGTCCAACAAATATGTCCCCAAGTAGTATATATTAAACATTATAAACAACAAAACTGACCTTTGCAAAACTGTTAAGCTAACAAGTTTTTTCAAAACCCACCATCAGTTGCAATCCGTCTTAATGCCTTTCAAATTTGTCCATCCATACCCTCTTTTGTATTTACCTTGTTATTTATACCTTTTGTTAATGTTTTGAGCGGTTATTTTTGTTTTACTCAAATTGGTGGCAGTTCCTACTGTTTAAACTTCGATGAATTTTGAGAGACAGCTTCTTTATGTTATGTTTTTTATTTGCAGCTTTCCCATGGAACTATATGAAGGATCTAAAACCACCACGAGTCCACAGACACACACGGTGCATTGTAAGGTAACTTTTTAAGAAGCCTTTGTTCTCCTTTTTTTGTTGTGGCCACAGCCCAGAATTAGCGTGAACAAACATGGCATGCTGTTCTGGTCCTTGAATTTACAATCAAGTGAGCTTTAACATGTTTCTACATTTCGTAAAAACCAGTGAAAATTAAACTTCTTTTAGGTAATCTTTTAAATATTTATTTTTTAATTTTATTGTCATTATTGATATATGTTCCGATTTTAGCTGCCTCTCAGATGCATTGCACAAATTTGTTACTCCTACCCCCTACCAAAAAAAACCTTCATCAATCATTCCAAATTTCCGTTTAGCCAAGACAAAGCAATCTTTGTTTGTAATCTAGATATCTGCAAGTAGCATAGCTGTTTTTTCAGTTATTCACCAGGAGTCAGAACTAGCAATCAGAGATCAACGCACTCTATTAATCTCTGATTGCTAGTTCTGACTCCTGGTGAATAACTGAAAAAACAGCTATGCTACTTGCAGATATCTAGATTACAAACAAAGATTGCTTTGTCTTGGCTAAACGGAAATTTGGAATGATTGATGAAGGTTTTTTTTGGTAGGGGGTAGGAGTAACAAATTTGTGCAATGCATCTGAGAGGCAGCTAAAATCGGAACATATATCAATAATGACAATAAAATTAAAAAATAAATATTTAAAAGATTACCTAAAAGAAGTTTAATTTTCACTGGTTTTTACGAAATGTAGAAACATGTTAAAGCTCACTTGATTGTAAATTCAAGGACCAGAACAGCATGCCATGTTTGTTCACGCTAATTCTGGGCTGTGGCCACAACAAAAAAAGGAGAACAAAGGCTTCTTAAAAAGTTACCTTACAATGCACCGTGTGTGTCTGTGGACTCGTGGTGGTTTTAGATCCTTCATATAGTTCCATGGGAAAGCTGCAAATAAAAAACATAACATAAAGAAGCTGTCTCTCAAAATTCATCGAAGTTTAAACAGTAGGAACTGCCACCAATTTGAGTAAAACAAAAATAACCGCTCAAAACATTAACAAAAGGTATAAATAACAAGGTAAATACAAAAGAGGGTATGGATGGACAAATTTGAAAGGCATTAAGACGGATTGCAACTGATGGTGGGTTTTGAAAAAACTTGTTAGCTTAACAGTTTTGCAAAGGTCAGTTTTGTTGTTTATAATGTTTAATATATACTACTTGGGGACATATTTGTTGGACGAAGCTGTGATTTTGCCGTTTACAAGTTACGGTATTTCTTCGCTAACGTCAACTTNAATTACCTCTTTTGGTGTTCTCTATTTCTAAAAAAAATTGAGGTTTCCTTCAATCTCGAGATTGTTTTTTTAGTTTCAAAATAGTGACTGAAAGTATCCTTAAAGAACTTCTCTAATGGCGTGAATAGCCTGAAAGGTCGAAAAACAAAAGAAAAAGAATATAAGCCCCTTCTACAGCCTAGTTCGAAGGCATCTTCTTTTCCACGAATACTCTTCACTCTTCAGTCAATAGGTCATTTCCGAGTTCCAAAAACTTTCTTTTTCAAAACAAGGCTAAGTACAAAACCTTCCTTGAGAAAATGAGTATTATTTGCATGAGAATAAAAAAAGATATTTTCATATCAATGACTTTTCACATAGACTCGCTTTGAAACAGAGGCCTCAAGGGCAACTCGGAAATTGCCTACGGTAGTATTACACCATCAAGTCCATCGCTGGCCGTCATATTTCGCGCCAGATGGAGTTTAAGATCTACACCAAGGCCGTCGCAACAATTCTCTACAAATTTCTTTGAAATACTAGACTGAAAATGAAGAATTTTTTCATTTCACGCCTTCTCAATTAACTAATAATTATCTAACTTTTTCTTGTATGTAATTCTTCCCTCCTTTCCCAATTTTGAGGATCGCATTAAATGGGAAATACGTGAAACAACATTGCTTTGTAAGGTGAAAAGTGTTTCATTAAGTGTAACGAGTACTCTTCACTTGCGCATGGGGTAGGCACAGAATGTTTTTATTTTGTCTCGAGGGAGGTCGGCCATCTGAACTGTACAAAATCAAGTGAGCAAAGATTGTCTACAGGGAAAAAAAACAAACGCTTGACATTAGAACTTGCACATACAGTGGTGACACTGCGATTGATCTCAGAGTTCTTTATGAAAATGAACAATTACGTAAGAGGATAACCTCTGTCTTTTTGTTTTCATCTAATATCTTCGACTTTACTTAGGAAAAACACTTGCGTACATCGCTAAGCCTCCGTACAACGGGGGACATCTAAAGCGAACGTCGAAAAAGCAACGAGTTTTAATACGCGTAACATCGCTCTTCTCCTTTGGGCAGCTAATTGATATCGTTTACATTATTTCAGTGGAAGGTCTAGCTTACTGTGATCTTTTTCGTCAAAAACTCTCGAAGCTTTTGCTCCTTTTCAAGATAGCACCGGTTTTAATGGTCAATAATTACACTGGGAAAACTGAAAACGTGTCCTCAACAATATATCAGTCATAACCAATCGACGCTTGGACTTCTTCGAACACTGATTAATTGATTACATTTTTATCCGTTTCCGTTTCTTAGCTGGTGTAACTTACCTTAAATGCTTAGTGACACGCACATCTTAGAAACCGCAAAAAAGTAAGAAAATGTGTTACTGAATTATAAACATCGCTAAACGGCTTTACTAAATTGACTTAAAGATAGTAGCAGACTCACATAGTGTTCGAAATTAAGAAAATGACATGGCGTATTCCCACTGATTTTGTCTCGGTAATGTGATTTTGTAATAATTTAAAAAGATTTACTGATATGCTAATACACAAGAGTTTTATCATCGTTCTATTTTTTGAGGTCAAACGAGGGTACAACTGTACTTCTGTTCGAGTTCAAAGAAAAAATGACATCTGATTCTAGCATTAAAAGTATTATTTAATCACTCCCCTCTCATATTGGTCAGGAAAGTACCTGTCTGCAACAAAAAAATCAATATTTTCATTTTCGAGGCAAAAATGAGTTTATTTGTTTAAGCGGCCTTAAGGCTGTAATTTACAGATTTCTTTTCGTTTCTTAATTATCGCCTTCCGAGGCCGGAACAAAAGAAGTATTATAAACAGCCTTGCATTTTCTTCTCGTTTCTTTTAGTTACGCCGCACGTACAACATCGCACTCGTGTACAGTAATCAACGTTTTAGTCTAAACGTTGTCTACAACACTTAGGTTAAAACATTTTCGGGTAATCTAATTGGCAGCTAGTATTATGACAGTCACTGCTTTTACAAAGTTTTTTTAGTGCTTAACTATCTTGCGTAATTTCTAAGCGCAGTTGCATTGTTTGCGCGAGAGGCTATATGAAATTAGCCGCCCAAAAAAACCTGCTAATCTGTCCCTGGAGTAACTGACATTGTTTGACGCATTCGTCATACCCAATAGTTATTATTATTAAAACTCGACATGTCAGACGACGGAAGAAAGACAGGTAGAAACGACCTAAACTGAGTTAAACAAATGTTTTTTTCACTTTCACCTCTCAAATCAATCCAAGTCCATTTGCAATCTTTTTGGAGCAGTTTTTCTTCCACGAAAGCCACTGAGTTGAGTGTTGTAACATCGGTTTC